GGAAATTTCACCGAGGGCTTGGAAACCAATCAAGCTACTATGACAGCCATCCTCTTCTGGGGTCTTCGGAGCTGTTCTGGACAACGCTGTCCTTCTGGTCTTCCTGTAGGAATCTTCCATTCTTTCCTCAAATTCTACTGGGCCTCTCGAGGGTCTTCCCATGATTTTTTTTTTCCCTTTTGCTAGTTTGTTTACTGTTACTTGAAATCAAAAGGACTCTAACTAACACATGATGTAAGGGATTATCTGCATGTCCCATAAGGTGGGGTCAGGCCTAAAGCAGCGTGTGGAGAAAGCCTCTTTCCAGACTACTTTATGAAGACCCATTGTGGTCTGATAACAGCCTGTCTGTGCCACCCACACTCTGGAAGGGGTTGGGTCAGATAGACCTGAAGTCGTGTCCTAGGGCTATCACCGAGCTGCACCGTGACCTTGAGCAAGTGACTTAACCTCTCTGAGCCTCAGTTTCTCCCTCTGTAAAGTGGCGCCATCCCTCAGAGGGGTGAAATATCTGGGCACTTCTGACCTATAGATCATCTTTCTATAAATGAGAAAAAAAAATCTGTGTGGGCACAGGGCTTGGTGCATGGACTGCCAGCTGGATTTGAGTCCCCATGGCCTCAGCTAGGGGCTTTGGTGCAGGACACTGCTTATTTGGGGGTGGTGCCCCAGGTGTTGGGAACCAGCAGTGAGGTGAGGTACACAGAGCCCCTATGTGCAGCCACTGTAGCTCCCTTTTCTTTTAGCTTCTCGATCTCAACCCAACCACACACAACTGGCACAGAAAACCAGCTTGCAAGATGTGGGTGTGAGGATGAAAGGAATGGCATGATTACAGAAGGCAGGCCGTGCAAAATCTAACAGCTGGGCTGGACTCCGTGTCACGCCGACCCTCCTCTCCATGTGCCATTGGGCCTTTGGGAGAAAATGGAAGGCTGCTCCCTGATTCTTGCAAGCCTGAATTCATTCGTTGGGCCAGCTTTGGCCAACACCTGGCTGGCTCTGCTGGCTGGAGGGAAAGCCAGATGTGTGGCACCTGGTTCCAGCCCTCCAGAGAGGTGAAAAAATCCGGGGAGGAAAGCCAGACCAGCTCATGGGGGAAGATGAGATCGACGTCACCGTAAGAGATGGCTACTTGGCCACTAAGCCTTCTGCTTTGTGTATCTCCTGGGGACGCACCAAGCTCTGCCACTACCTTCTCTCGATGCAGCCCATGCCAACTCCATGAGGGAAGCAGGAGGGCACTACCGGTGCCACCTTGCAAAGGAAAAACAGAGGCTCTGAGGATAAAGGGACTGTCCCTTGATAACCATCTCTGAAGTTGTGATCAGAACTTAATCTCGGGGGCAACCTGGGTGGCTGAGCGGTTTAACGCTGCCTTCAGGCCCAGGGTGTGATCCTGGGGACCCAGGATCGAGTCCCACATCAGGCTCCCTGCATGGAGCCTGCTTCTTCCTCCACTTCTGTCTCTGCCTCTCTCTCTCTCTCTGTTTCTCATGAATGAATAAATAAAATCTTTTAAAAAAAAAAGAACTTAATCTCAGTGACCCCTGGGCTCAGCCTCAAATCAGAGTTTGGGGGGTGGGGGGATGCAGGCCTTCCGCTTCCACGCAGGCCTCTCTGCTTGCTTCCATGCTTACTTCAGGGGCACAGCAGTTACTCTTCCAGTCGGATGGCAAAACCCACACAGGGCCGGATCCTGTGCTCCTTCTGCGGTCTTCTATGTCTCTCCACCCAGGAAGAGGGCCCTGGCTTATCCCAGACTGTTTTATTTCCTCTGCCTGCTGACTAAGGGTGTGGATTGGGTTGTGAGTGGTGAGCAAGATCTAGATGCATGGTTAGGGAGGCTCCCTACCTCCCCCTCTGGAGGGCCAAAATTTTTTCTGCATGGAGCTCTGCATGGAGACATTGAACAAGAGGCCAGGTTTTGTTTGGTTTTGTTTTAAAGATTTCATTTATTTACTTGCTAGAAAAAGAGTGAGAAAGCACAAGCAGGGGGAGCAGCAGAAGGAGAGGGAGAAGCAGGCTCCCCACTAAGCAGGGAGCCAGACACGGGGGCGTGGTCCTACACGACCCTGGGATCACGACCTGAGCCGAAGGTAGACACTTAGCCCACTGAGCCACCCCAAGAGGCCAGTTTTTAATAAAGTGGTTCTTTTGCAGTTTGCTGTTTGGCCTTTGTTGCAGGAGGGGGTTCCCGGGAAGCAGACTGCGACAGAGATTTGCCTGCGGGGAGCTCATCAGGGGTGCTCCGGGGACACACACCTATGGAAGGGAAGGGAAGACACAGAGTGGGCCGAGGGAGGGGTCCAGCTGCCAGGCAGTCTCCACCAAGGCCTCCGCCCACCCCGGAGGGAGCTGCGGACCAGCGCTTGTATCCTGCGTCACCAGTCAGTGGTTGACAGGTGGCCCTGAGGAAAGGGGTGCGCCCTGGGGTGAGGGGTTCTCTCCCAGCAGGAGGGCTGGAACAGGGAGAGCTGATTACGGAGCCATCCCAGAGACTGGGGAGGGAGTTCTTTGTTCCTGAGGAGGGCCTTGGGTGTGGCTACCTTGTTGTTGCTGCTTCTTGAACCCCTGTTCTGAGGACCTCAGACACAGTAGGGTGATGGACAGCTTGCACTGGAGCTATCTGTCCTGTCCTACAGTGGGTCCTGGGACTCAGCGAGGGGGGCTCAACGGGTCCTTCCCCAGTGGGGAGCCCTGCCCCGGGAAGAAGGGCCTGGGGCAGGGCAGGCCTAGCCCAGGAGGAGTGCCGGGGAAGATGAAGCTCATCCTGCCTGCAGGGGGTACGGTGGAGGGGCCCTCAGGGAAGCCCCGTTGCTGCTGCAGGGATCTGAGGGGACGGCAGTGGGAGGGGGCTGGGTTTTGGGGCCAACAGTCTGAATGAGCACTGTGGGTTTCTCCAGTGCAGGTTTTTCCACAGCGGAAAGAAGATTCGAGATGGTGGAGAGCGTCTGATTGCCTTTGGGGTCCCTCCGTGACTCAGAGCATTTTCCAGCTTGCTGAACTGGGGCCCTGCTGTGTGAGGTTTTCTCCTGAGCTCTGGCGGATGCATAATGAATGGGGAATTTAATCCATATGCTGATGATTCCTTTACCCTGAACTCATCTGCAGGCGGCTCCTAAGAGCCCTTTGATGTCCGGCAGGACTGGGAGCCTTTTTATGAGATGTTTTATGCTGTCTCCCCACCCCACTACTCCCTGTTTATGTAGAAGGAACGGAAGTTGTGTTTTTTGGAGTCTAAATGGACTCAGACCTTGGAAAGTTCAAGTTCTAATTCTAAGCTCATGGGTTTCCCTTGGGCTCCAGCCTTGGCAACCTCTTCTCCAGCCAGGACCCTGGCAGCATTTACCATTCAGGAGGCCTGGTTGGTGTGCCCGGACCATGGGCCGGGGTGGGCCAGAGTGGGGGAGACCAGGAGGGCAAGGCCGGTGCCCAGGCCAGGGGCTGTCTCTGGGCAGACACGGAATGTGGGGGCCGGTGGGAGCACCGGCCTGGGCTCCTCCTTCTGCCCCAGTGTCTCAGCCAGCAGCCACATCACCCATTTTGCTCATTCCGTTGGGCTAAGGCATTTTTCTCTCCAAATCTAGTAGCATCGCAAGTATTCATGGTCTGGACAGTCATTCACACACTAGTGTGGGTTCACTTTTCAGCCGGGAGGCTATCTCAGGCAGTGGGACACAGGATGGGAAGCTTTGACTGTGGGAGGAGAGTCCCAGTTGGAAAAGAAAGTGCTAGAGACTCAAAGCCAACTCCTGGGACTCCTGACTTGCTCTCAGTTCCTAGGGGTCTGGATGGGGTTTGCAGAGCACAGTGGGGGTGCCGGCTGACTCAGGCTGCAGCAGATGGAGACTCCAATCTAGAGGGATTGTGTTTAGAAGAAAAGGCGAGTCTCCAAAATCATGTGTGTGCACGTGCATGCGTGTGCATGTGAGTTGGGGGGCGGAGGCGGCGGGCAGTTTCCTGAGCTGTGTGCATGGACTGAGGTTGCTCTCCATAGCTGCCTCGTGCTTTGACCTTGGGGGAGGATGTGGCTATTCAGTGCAGGGATCCAGTGGAGCAGGAGGGCAGAGCTCAAGCTTAGCTTGAACAGGGATCAGGGAAGGTTGCCAAGTGAAAGGAGAGATTGGGTCCAAAATGAGGAGGAGGCATAGGGGTTCTCTTGGGATACAAGAGTAAAGGACGGGGATGGGCTGGGAGGAGAGAAGACCGGAGATGAGCAGTCGGTTTGGGGGGAGGGTGCTTATGCGGTAGAGAACATGTTCTTTGCTTTGGCTAAGAGAACAGTGCACCCCCCCCCACCCATGACACTGAGGGAGGCCATACCTGTCATGCAGAGGAAGATGGAGGTTTGGAGTTGCTAACCTCATTTCCGCCTGGTTTGTGGTTTCCAGTGGCACATACACCCTGCTCTGTGTCTTGTGGATACATCCTGTTTGGAATGCTTGGGAATGTTAACAGGCCTGTGATTCCAGGCCTGCCATTTCATGTCATCATAACCTCACCTGGAGACGGGGACAGGGGGCAGAAAGTCTTGCTCCTCCTTTTCCTTAGATGGCAAATAGGGAAATGGAGGTTCAGACATCGTGGGGTTTGCCCCATGGTGAGCCAGAGGTAGAATTGGGGTTCTGACCGCCTATGCCAGGGCTTGTTGCTGCACCCTACTTCCTGAGTGGGCCTTTTCATTATCTCCCCAGGGTTTCTGTTGGCTCTGTTTCAGGGCTGCTCCATCGGACAAATCTGCATGCAGAGCGAGGCACTCAGCCAGATACTTGGCAATATGACAACGGATCCAGTGGCTCCTGTGGACAGGCCTGGGAACAGACACAGAGAGCAAAATAGGATGGGTGGGAGGGGAGAGGTGAGCACACATCAGGGTCCCTGAAACCCAGCTGGGCAGAAAGAATGGGGGAGGGTAGTCTGGGAATGCTTCTTGCAGGAGGAGTGGCTTTGGCTGAATTAAAGGGCAGAGGGGAGCAGGGAGGGGAGCCAGAGGGAACCGCAGAGCCGAGGCGGGAGGTGGAAAGAGCACCGCGTGGGAGATTACAGGTATGAGCAGGTCGGTGCAGTAAAGGTGAAGTACAAGGGCAGAGGGGGAACCAGCAACCATGAACCAGGAAGCTGAGGAGACAGGACAGCTTCTTCCCCAGGAAGAGGAGCCTCCTGTCTGCTAGGGTCTGGACTTTGTCTTGGAGACAAAGCAAACTGTTTCAACATGGCAAACTTTCCATCGAGAACGATCTTTCCTCCTGGGGAAAAGCAGGCTGGGAAGAGGGAAAGGCTGAGGCAGGAGGCCAGCAAGGAGGCTGCTGGAGTAACACTCCCCTCCCCACACCACCCGCCAACCAGGAGTGAGGGCCGCAGTGGGGAAGGGACGGGATGTGGTGATGAGGGTGGGAGTTGGGGAGCCATCAGGGATGATGCCTAGATGGAGACAGGTGGAGAAACTGATTGAGGAGGTGACTGTCATCATAGTTTTGTGGCCCAGGCCAGGGGAGACTTCCCATGGACACCAACATGGAACCATCAAGGGGGGGTGTCTGAAGATGAAAAGAGGCACCTCACCTGGAGATACATATCTGGGGCTCCTCTGCCTATGGATGGGAGTTAAAGTCCTGAACTGGCCCTCTGTGGTCTGGAAGAGAGGGTGGTGGTCATCAGAGGAGGCTCAGGATGGGGTGGGAAGTTGTCACTGAGAGAAATGAGGCCCTCAAGCAGGTCTCCCCTGGCAGCCCAGCCCAAGCCCAGCACAGCTGAGTGAACATTTGCTTAAACCAGGAGGGAGGAAGAGGGAGTGGGAGGGAGAGGGAGGGAGAGGCAGCCTACCACACTGCGCATCAGTCCTTCCCAGGAAGGCCTGTGCTATGACTGCTATATCCTATATAACTCTTCCTGGCAGGTGTCAGGGGGTCTCCATGCTTACAAGCCACACCCCCTGTTTGCTGAGCACCTTGGGGGGTTGCCTGATGTCTTGAGGAAGGAGGGAGCTGGGGCAGGGAGACTCCCAGCAGCTGGCACTACTACAGCCAATTGAAGGCTCAATTTCTAGTTCCAAGATGGAACTAGAAGTGGATTAGAAGTGGATTTTGTCCCTTTGGAATGGGGAGTGTTTGCCCAGAGTCAAGGGCTTAAAGAAGGTGGATAAAGCTTTAGTGTTGCTTCTTGGCCCCGTGGACCCAATGGGGAAGGCAGGGGCTCCTGAACAAGAAAGGAGCCAAGGACTGGCCCTTCTCATTGGTCCAGACAGGTGGGCTGGTGGCAGACACCGAGGCTGGGAGTGAAGTTCTGGTGGCTCAGGCCCAGTAAGGAAGGGGCTAGCTGTTAGAATCAGACACCAAGAATGCCTGGAACTGGCTCGGCTTACCTGGCCGAGGGGAGTGCATGTCTGTCAGTGGTCTCGGCTACCCAACGTGTGCCACATGGGCAGGCTGGGTGTCTTGTGGGTGCTGGGTGTAGACTTTGTGCTTTTTTGTTGATGTAGCCGACCAATCTGGCCTCATCCTGCCTCACTTTTGACAAGAGAAGGTCTAGACACCTCTGCTGGGCACAAGTGGCTCTCCCATTTCTGCGACTCCTCTACACAGGTTGCAAAAAATCAGCCACAATCTCACATTTCAAATATGCCATTGGAAGCAAAAGTCAGTGTTGCACCATAACCAACAGCCCATCAGCCACCTTCAGCCGATGGAGAGGACAGCCTGGTGTCTTGAGACAGAGTCTCATTACGGTGGAGCATTTATTTGGGGACCCTGAGCAGAGGGGACAAGCTCAGGCCCCTCCCAGTGCAGGGCCTGCTCACCCACAGAAGCACTGTGACTGGTGCTGTCGAACAGCCCAGGCCTTAGGGGATTCTGATCTGTTCTGTCACTCACCCAAAGAGGAACCTTGGGCAACTCACTCAGCTTTCTCATCTGTCAGGTGGGCTTAAAAATCCCTGGGTTGGGGCCCCTGGGTAGCTCAGTGGTTAAGCATCTGCCTTTGGCTCAGTTCGTGATCCTGGAGACCTGGGATCCTGGAGACCTGGGATCGTGTCCCACATCGGGCTCCCTGCAGGGAGCCTGCTTCTCCCTCTGCCTGTGTCTCTGCCTCTCTCTCTGTGTCTCTTGTGAATAAATAAATGAAATCTTTTCATTTGTCAGACGCTCAACCACTGAGCCACCCAGGCATCCCAATAAATAAAATCTTTAAAAAAAAAAAATCCCTAGGTCAACTCTCTTACAGGGCTGTGAAGTGAATCAAATGAGCTCATAGACAAAAAAACAAATTTGACAATTAAAACAAGTGTTGGCTTCTAGCTTTCCTCAATTCCTCTGCCCGAGTTGGTCCTGAAATCTTGGAAGTTTGCAACATTCATTGCCTATCTAGGGGGCTGTTCTACTGCCTTCCTGGGCTCCTCTTAAAAATTAAATGATACTGCAGCCAGGCATCAAAAAAACCAGCCCTGAGCTAGGAACAGACAACAAGATGGGGAAAACTGACTCTAAAAGCATATAAATTCCTCCACACACCACCTCCCGCTCAAGGGTCATTTGACTTTCCATCAACAGTGGCTAATGATGTGGGGAGATATGACCCTGGTGGGGGAAGAGGACCCATTCCTGCGTCTTCCCATGCAGCCATGCCTCATGGCAGGGATGAGGGCCTCGGGAGTCTCAGGGAAGCTGCTGGCCTGTAAAACACCTAGATGATTCCTTGGCAGGAAATGGATGCCATCCCAGAAGGTGGGGCTTTTCCCTCACTGACTATCCAGAAAAGCTCTTGTCTGGAAGCATGGGAGAGGCCCACAGCTGCTGAGGCTGGGCCCTTATAGAGAGGCGGAGCCTCTGGCTTGAGTCAGATCCAACCCCTCCAGCCAATTTTTATTCCTCCCTGTGGGTGCATCTTTGACAAATGACTATAGAGCCCAAACAGGAGAAGGGGCCCTGCACCCTATGTCAGATAGTGTCAGCCCAGAGGATGAGGTGGCCCATTTGTCTGACCCCGGACCCGCAAGTTCTTTTGGCTATCTTTTTGTAGCCCTGACCCTGCAGGGGCCCCTACTTGGCAGTATCCAGTAGCCCCATGTTGTCACAGGTTGTGTTGCTCTGTAACTCAAGGGCCAAGCCACACAAGAACTGGATTTCCAGTCTTCCTTGAACCCAATGTTGTTGGGGCCCGCAGGCCCTGGGACACTATGGTTCTGAAGGCCCTTCACTGTGCTTTCTGTCCTGGAGATGGGTCCCTTCCCCCAATACCTGTGCCTCACTGATAAGACTTGAATTTGCTGGTGTTCATGCCCCTTCCATCCCTGGTTCAAGGGTAAATTCTAACTATTTTAACCCAAACATGGTTAATTCCATGTTCCTTGTCAGTGATTGGTTTAAAGGCAGGTATGTGGCACAATTCTGGCCAACAGGATGTGAGGGGAAATGAGCTGGGGAGGAGCTTTGGGGGAAGGTTTCCCACTGCCTAGAATCCACACATAGGAAGAGGTGGTTCCTGTCTCCTCAGTGCTGTGCTGTGTGTGATGCCCGGAACCTTGGCAGCTGTCTTAGGACCATGAGAAAGGCTAGTCTGAAGACAAAGCTAACATACTGAGGAAGAACATGGAAAGAACCTAACCCATGATGATGTCACAGAATCAGGAAATTAATCACGCTTGGTGCCGCCCTTTTTGTCACGTGAAATTTTCTTCAGTGCCATTCTGGGTTGGGTTTTCTGCTCTTTGCGGTTGAAGCACCCTCCTCACTGACTGAGTTCCTGTCTTCATGTGCTTGCAGCCCCTTTGACTTCTTTGCAATCCACAAGACATTGGAGTCAGGTGCCGCCTCCTCCATGAACACACTAAGCTAACGCTGCCAAAGCGTTGGGAATACACCACCTGGAATTGCCCCAAAGCTGTGTGGTTTGGTGATTTGGATACTGGTAACACTCAGCTCCAGCAGTCCTCAAGGCCTCCTCCAGAAGTAGGGGGGCTTCAGGATCCTCCTCCCACTCCTCCACCCAGGGGATGAAGGCTGGAGGTCCTGATGCTAACCCCCTGCACGAGTGGGGGTAATCCGTCCATGTTGACTCCAGTCATGATCCTCCGCCTCCAAGGTCTTCCCTCCTCCACCCAGGGTGTTTGTCAGGGCCGAGGTTCTGGGGCAGGGACAGGCTAGCAATGGGGGTGGGGTGCTGCACTGGGAGCTCCTCAGGGGTGTGAACCCCATTCTATTCACCCAAGCTGCCCTGTACCTGGCATGGTCAGTGTGTGTGTCCAGTAGGTGTGGGCATGCAGTCATTCAACAGGGACATCATGCCACCTTGTGCTGAGCAAAGACAGAAGAGCTGGATAGGACAGGCAAGGCCCCTGACCTCTGGGTCCTTACAGGAAAGTCGGGGGAATGGACATAAACCAGGGTCTAAATAACTGTTTAAGCAACCAGCTAACTGGCTAATGCTTTTAGTTCATTGTGTGTGCCACAAAATATGACAGCCTGTGTATAGTGTGGGGAAGGGGTGCTGTGGAACGAAGGGAAGGGGGTTACGGTGGGCCTCCCTGGGGCAGGGCCAGATGGATGAGAGGCAGCCAGACCGAGGCCCCAGGTGGACAGGATGTGTTCGAGGCTGGGTATCTGGGAACTTCTGAGGCTGAGCCGATGTTGATGTGTGAGGAGGGGAGCCGGTCTCAGCCCCGTGCCACCGTGGTCAGGTGTCTGGAGTGATGATTGAATGGTTCTGAGTTCAGATGTTAGGCTGGGGCACCCATATCCTTTTCTGCCCAAATAATGAGTCCTAGAGACCTAAGTGGGAGTGTGTCCACATTCAGGGATGAAGGGATGCCACCATGGGAGAGGACCCCTAGGGCGCCAAGAGCCCGACGACAGCCAACACTTCCAGATGTCTGCTTGTGAAATTTCTGCAATCCTGATCTTATCCCCAGGGCTGGGGCCCTTCCTGCTCCGCCCTCCTTCCGTCTCCACCCACCTCACCCTTGTCTGGTTGGCCAGAGTGTGCATGGTCTGGCCCTGGAGGCCCCGTCACCCACCTCCCTCCTGGGTGGCCCCTGCCTCTGTTCAGCCCTCCTGGTGGGGGAAG